CACCCCACCTTGAGCCCTGGGTTGATCGCGAGGTGGATAATTATCTACTGAGGGGTCAGGGACTGGGGTTGTGCCCTTGCCCCAGGGCCCCTCACAGCCAGCTTCATCACAGGTCCATTTCCTGCGTCCGCCCCTCACAACATGCCGCCCGGCCCGGCCAATACTCCAGCTTCAGGCAGCCTCCTCAGCTCCCCGGCTGGTTTCCCCATAGGCAGCGCCATTTCCCTGTGTCCTTCCAAGCGGCCTCCCCACCTGTTGCAGTCCCAGCCCATGCCCCCTCCAGAGGACCCAGCTGGGGGAAGCTGCTGCAAGTGTCTGTTGATTAACTAGGCTTATCTCGGAGGAGTTCTGCTACTGCATGGTTACCTTCCCTTCCCCCCTCCCCACCTGCCGCCATTATCCTCCCTCACACCCACCCCCCAATCCTAGAACAATCAGCCTGGAGTGGGGCTGGAGGCAGGGCAGTCCCTATGGCCCAGGGCAACACCCTCCACTCTAGGTCCTGTCTCACCTCTGCTCTGCTCCAGTACATCCCTTCCCCCCCCCCACCCAGCAGCCCAGTCCCTGCTCTGCCCCCTCTTGGCTCCATTGCACCCTTCCCTGAAGTCCCCTCCTCCAAGAGATGCAAGCTGCAGGATTACTTGCGGGGGCTGGCACAGTGGGGGTGGGTTTATGCACTCCCTGTGGCAGGAGCCCTGGGAAATGGAGCAACACAGCAGCCTGCTCCTCTCTGCCATCTCCCAGCCAGATCCCTCTGCTTCCCCAGCCTGCTATGCTCCTGAGCCCCATTTGCTTGGGGGGGGGGGGAGCAGGCTGTGACCGGAGCACTGTTTCCCGCTGCCACAGTGAAGCGGAGCGACCCAGCTAGGAGATAGCTGGGCAGAGCAGGCGGCTGTGTCGCTCCACTTCCCATGGATTCCCATTGCAGTCAGGAGTGAGGAGGGGCCCAGTCCCCACTGCTACCCTGCACCAGGCCCCCACGTATTGCCCCAGACTACTACAGACCATGTGGCTGCTATCATGATGGGGACCACCCTTAGGGTTGCCAGATGGTTGAACCCAAAATTACCCCCCCCCCAAAAGAAACACTAGGAAAAAATTCTGTTGAAAAAAAGGGGGGGGGGAACCAAAGTTGTTAAAAAAAAAAAAAAAAAAAGGACCTCGACAGCAGTTAAGTAAATAAAATAAATAAAAAATCAGCATGGCCCCTTTAAGAAGAGGCTTTTTTTGCTGGCGGCCCTACCAACAGTCTTGTGGAACCAGGTAAACATGGAGTCTGGGGGTGCTGGGGGCGGGGCAAGCTGGGCACTGAGTGTTTGTAGCATTGCTAGGTGCCCAGCATTATTGCCTCCTGGCCGGGGGGGGAAAGAAAAATCAGAAAATACCGGACATCTCAGGTGTCCGGTATTTTCTGAAATTTTTTTACCAGATAGGAGGCAAAAATACCGGACTGTCCGGGTGAATACCAGACACCTGGCAACCTTAACCACCCTATCCATAGGATGGTTGGAGCAGCCCCTATAGGGACCCTCAAAATGTGGGATTGTTGGGGCAGCCCCACATACAATTCACTGCCCCGGTAACAGTGTAGGAGAAAGACATCAACTCCTACCGTCACTGCCAGCAAGTACCACCTAGGATAGACTTCAAGGCCAGAAGGGACCACTGTGATTAGCTAGGCTGACTGCCTGCTTAGCACAGGCCACGGGACCACCCTGAATTTGTTACGGTTTGAATTAGCGCAGATCATAGAACCACAGAACTGGGCGGGGATCCCCCCGCAAGGATCCTTGTCACATTACCGAATTGGAGGGAAGCAGCCAGATCGCTGCTGCACCCCTAGGTGGGGGTGTTGGCCCCAGAAATTGCTATAAAAGGGAGCCGTGTGGGGTATTGAATGGGAGCTTATTGTTTGCTGACCTTAGGTACGCTATTTATGTGAGTGTATAATGTCTGTGTGTATAGGTAGGAATCTGTAATCTGTGTGGAAGTTGAATAGTTCTCTGAATGTGGTTAAGCATTGCTATGGACAGGCTGATTAGCCAGGCCCTGTGGGACAATGGCACTTGATGGGCCAAGGACACACCTAAAGAATGGGGGCTGGCCCCTGAGAGCAGCCAGCAGGAAACACAGAGATTGGCCTCTGACCAGGTGACCTGCTGCATACAAGAAGAGGCCAGGAAGGAGGTATAAAGAGGCCATGTGGTCAATGCCATTTTGTTCTCAGCTCAGCACTTCATCCCAGAGGCAGCAGTGCAGGGATCGAAGAACCAGGAAGACCTGTGAACCCATCCTGATGCTAGGATGTGCAACAAGGACTTTTAAACCAGCAGCTGTAACATCTCTGCTAGAGCCTGCATCAAGGACTGGGAGATTCGGTGCATGTAACGTACTATTCTTTAACAACCTGACTCTCATGCTTTTCTTTCTTGTGATAATAAACCTTTAGTTTTAGATTCTAAAGGATTGGCCCAGCGTGATTTGCGGGTAAGATCCAGAGGGTAAATTGACCAGGGATCTATGGCTGGGTTCTTGGAACCGGACAGAACTTGTTCGGGGTAGGTGGGATTGGGTGCTAGGACCCCCCCACCTGTGTATGAGGCCCGGGGCCATCTGGGGCACGGATATTGCTGGGGTGTCGGAGGGGTTTTGCTCGTGAGGCTTCAGGCAGGCAGCTGAAGTGCTCTGTGAGACTGGTTTGTGGCCTATTTGGAGAGGTCACCAGTCTGGGGGCTGTAAGGAGCCCCGGATTTGAGCAATTTGCCCTGAGCGGACGCCCTCAGCTGTGCCCAGACACGGCCCGGTCTGTCAGAGTCCTCTCATGCATCCCCCTGCCAAGCTTTAGGATCTGTGGTGTCTAAGCCCCTGAAGACAGCTGGCTATCCAGCCTTTGTTTGAAAACATCCAGGGAAGGAGATTCTACAAGCTCCTTGGACAGCTTATTCCATTGTCCTCCTGTTCTTACAGCTGGGTAGTTTTTGCCAGAGATTTCATCGACCCCAACACAGATTTCATTTGAACTGCTGCCTCTTGTCCTGCCCTCTGCGGCAACATTTCTCCATCATTTTTTTTTTAATTGCACCCATCCTTAGGAAAAGCTGCCAATCTTGATTTAAACACAAGACTCCATCGAATGAGTCTCCACCGGAGCCCTGGGCAAGGTGTCCCCATGGCTAGTCACTCTTATTGCTTTATTTTTTTTTAAATCGCATCTTCTTTCTAAGCTGAATTGGTCTAGCTTCAGCTTCCACCTATGGGATCTTGCTAGAGTCTGTTTGCTAGGATGAAAAAGCCCTTAAGTTTGGAGTTTAAGTCCACCTCTCCTAATTTTTTCTGTGCCTTAATGTAACCCTAATGCCCCTGCACATGGGAAGGGACTGAACCATGGCCTCTTACTCTCAACACAGGAACTTCTACTTTCTCTTAGCCAAAGCCAACAGAAGCGCTAGCTGGCCAAGCCACCAGTAGAGGGGGACAGAGTGCTACACAGAACAGATCGTACAGTACTAAGATAAAATTAAAAAACAACAGATGGTCTGGTAGCACTTTATAGACTAACAAAACATGTCGATGGGATCATGAGCTTTCCTGGGCACAACCCACTTCTTCAGATGACTGGAGTTTGTCTGAAACAGACAAACTCCAATG